TCATCATCACCTTCATCTTCATCACCATCATCTTCATCACCACCATCATCATCACCTTCATCTTCATCATCATCATCACCCTCATTCTTCATCACCATCATCTTCATCTTCAAGGCTTCAGTAACAGTGAGGACCGACCCTGACCCTGGAGACGGCTGAGTGGACAAAGCCTTTGTGCCACAGATGAGATTATGGCTTTAGTCTGAGCAGGGGTTCAGGTCAAAGGTCGTGGGAGGAGGAGCTCCAGCTGTTACATAACACCTGAGCTTCAGGTTCTCCTTCTTGGAATTCTCCTGCTGGTGTCAACACGCGGGGGGGGGCAGTGGTGACTTGATGGTTACAGAGGTGGACTTGGGTCCAGAGGGTTTGAGGTTCGAGTCCACCAAGTTACCACTGAGGCACCGTCCCCACACACTGCTCCCTGGGAGCTTAAGCTGAGGAGGAGTTCACTTTCCTTCCAGTCCAAGGTGACGCTCAAGCACCATTCAAGCACCATTCAAGCACCATTCAAGCACCATTCAAGCACCATTCAAGCACTTTCCATGTCCATTTCTGTCTGGTTCTGTCCTGGATGTTCTCAGGTCTGAATGAGGCTGACTGACCCAAGGTCACCCAGAACAGAACCAGAAGCAGTCTTCAGAACCAGGATCAGTACCTCACTCAGGTCTGCGATGGTCAGGTTCATCCCGGCCAGTTGTTTCCACACAGGTTCTGCCAGGTTCAGACTCAGAGGACTTCCTGTCCGGATCGCTATTCCCAGCAGGACTCCTGCAAAAACAGAAAGAAAGATGAACCGGAACCTTCTTTCTCTACGAGGTTCTTTCTCTTCTGAGTTAATGTGAAGGACAATCGGTACCGAGAAAGCGGAACATGCTGAAGTGGAGCGAGGACTTGACCGCCGGGTTGAGCAGGAAACAGTCTCTGTTGGCTCCAGACTCGTCCCGTCCATTGGGGGTGACGATGAGCAGAGGAGTCAGAGCGTTCTGCAGCTCCTCACACATTTCTGCGATGGACTCGCTGTAGCCGCCGCCGCAGTCGTCCACTGACTCGCCTGAGAGGTGGAACGAAAACACAACCATCAGTGACAGAGACACCAGTGGAACTGTTGATCCTGTCAGAACTTTACATCTATTACAACCATCGCACACACACACACACACTGACCCACAAACTTGACCTTCCACACTCTGTGAGGCAGCAGAAGACTGTCTGGACTGAAGGACGCCATCTTGGAACACATCTGACCAAACACTGACTTGGTTCCATCAGGTCCTGCCAGACCTCCTTTACTGCGAGAACGTTTCACCTGCACAGAGCAGAGCAACACAGAAGAAACATCATGGTCACAGACCAGAGTCTATGGAGAAAATCAGAGATTTTAGTTCAGACCAAAGTCCATGGAGAAAATCAGAGATTTTAGTTCAGACCAAAGTCCATGGAGAAAATCAGAGATTTTAGTTCAGACCAAAGTCCATGGAGAAAATCAGAGATTTTAGTTCAGACCAAAGTCCATGGAGAAAATCAGAGATTTTAGTTCAGACCAAAGTCCATGGAGAAAATCAGAGATTTTAGTTCAGACCAAAGTCCATGGAGAAAATCAGAGATTTTAGTTCAGACCAAAGTCCATGGAGAAAATCAGAGATTTTAGTTCAGACCAAAGTCCATGGAGAAAATCAGAGATTTTAGTTCAGACCAAAGTCCATGGAGAAAATCAGAGATTTTAGTTCAGATCATACTATGAACTATAATTACAGACTTTTATCTATGGACTCTGGTGTGGGGAAAGTCTCAAAACCTTAGTTTCCTGATAGTTTATCTGTGAATTGCAGTTTTTTAAAAATGTAGTTCAAATTAAAATAGTTATAAACACGGAGGTGTCACTCACATCTTGTTGTGAATGTTTTGGGTTAGGGTTTATATCACACTGTGTGTGTGTGTGTGTGTGTGTTGGGAGGGGGGGGGGCAGCCGTCACATTTAACCACCCTGAGTCTTAGTCAGACTCAACCGGCTGATTCAACTCAGAGGATTTGATGTACTGAGAGGTCAGAGGTCAGACACAGACAGAGGCTTCAAGGAAAACTTTAACCTTTCGACTAAAGAACTTAACGCCCTCTCCTCTGATTGGTTGAAGTTTCATTTTGGTGTGGGAGAATGAACTCCTACCTTTACCCACACCAAACCTCAGAGACTCATGGTCATGGTCGCTGCTCTGGTTCCACTAGTGCAGCAGTTAGTTAGCCTGCCTCGCAAGCAGATAGTCCTGTGTTCGATTCCCAGAGGAACCACACACTTGGCACCCCTAAAGTTTGAATTATTCTTAAAATGATCCAGTGCTAGTTCATCACCCAGTTCTAATGCCTTTACTGTTGTTTGTTCAGATTTACCTCAGTGACACAAAGTGACCACAGGAGGCAGCAGTAGATGTAACAGACACAATTCTGCAATCAGAATTAGGATTTTGTATTCTGAGCCTGACAAACAGAGAGAGAAGAGAAGTGGAGAACCTGGATCCTGTTCAGCTCCACCACAGGTCCATGTTGTCGGTCCCTCACCATGGTGGCCTGGACCACCTTCCTGAACGCTGCCTCCTGTTGACACACACACACACACACACGTTTGTTTATCATGTTCATGACCATTGTGGTTCAGAGAGACATTATTATTAACCTTACTCTACCCCCCCAGCCCCCCCGCCCCACCCAACCCACCGAATTTGGCATTTGTTGTTCTCTAATATCAGACAGAATTCCTGTAATATCCTTAGTTAGGATTGTTAAATTAAAAACTCGACTCATTCTTCAGAACTTTGCTTTTTTTGGTTCAAGCAGACACCGAGGTTACAGCCAGGTGGCGCCCTCCCAGAAAGCCCTAACATTACCCTTCCTGTTGGAATAAAGAAAGGTCTCCTGTACCTTTCCTTGGGAGATGAGGATTCCTCGGAGCGTGTCGAAGCCGACCGAGGGCCCGTGTCCCGTCTGTCCCAGTCGCCCCTCCAGGTCAAACATGGGGATGCAGGGACAGAAGAGCTCGGAGATGTGATGGAGCAGCAGCAGGCGGTTCCTCAGAGCCATGATGGGAATCTCCTGCAGGTGGTTGTACTCCATCGGTACCTGAGGAACACAGCCACAGCCCTGTTGTCATATCTCGTGTCTCATCACCGCCCCCTGTTGGTGCTCACGTCGGTCCAGTACCTGAGTGGGCAGCTTCCCGGCGTTGGTGGGTTTACTGGTGGACCAGGACAGAGTGTGAGCAGAGCCACAGGCCACACGGTTGATTTTTTTACCCTGCAGTGCAGCCACCAGCCGCGGCCTCTGGATGGCGTTGGTGGTCCCGTCCCCGAGCTGTCCCTCGTCATTGTCCCCCCATGTGTAAACCTCTCCTGAAAATCAATAGTGAGACAGTTCACTTTTAAAGTTTGTTTGTCGACCTGCTGCTCTTAAAGGTACAGTCCCAGGTTTTCCTCTGTGATTCCAGTAGCTCCTCCACCGTGGCCTGCAGGTGGAGCTACGTTCATCTTTTAAGCCTCTGGATGGTTTTATATAATTTTAAACTAAGACCAAATCATCTTTTAGTTAAAGATTCACGACCACCAGCTGTGGCGCCCCCTACCATCCTCTGTGCAGCAGACACAGTGCAGTGAGCCTGTGGCTATGGCAGTGACCTTCTTCCCCTGCAGACCCTGGACCTGTCGGGGTCGTCGAACGTGGTCGTCAGAACCATGACCCAGCCGATGGTAGTCTCCTTTTCCCCTGAGAGTCACATGATCACAGTGAGGAGTGGGTTTTTTTAATCTGCAAAGTTGATGAAACTGACAACAGGAAGTTCATACCAGGTGTAAACAGCTCCAGACTTAGTCAGAGCCACGGAAAACTGGGATCCACACTCCACCTTAACCACACCCAGACCAGTCAGGGAGTCGATCTGAGGAGACCAGAACATGACATCATCATCATCATCATCATCATCATCATCATCATGTTAATAAAGAGAATTTAACACCAACATCAGTAGAGGTCGGGACAAACAGCCCCACAGTACTATTAGTCCAAGGACTGATGACGGAGACCAAGATGAGGTCTAAGCAGGAAATGGTGAAACGGTCCAACTTTGAAGTAGTGGTTGAAAAATGGATAATGTTCAACAGCCAGAACAGAGACAGCACTGAGATCTGCCTTCACTGACCTCTGACCTTCATCTTTGTCACTTCATTACCTTCATGGGAACCTTACAGCCGTCGCTGCCGCCCCGTCCCAGTTTGCCGTAGTCCCCGTCTCCCCAGGACCAGACCATGTCATCATCAGTTAGACACAGTGTCTGAGCGTCTCCACTGCCACAGGCCACGTCGATGACTCTGTGGCCCTGCAGCGCCTCCACCTGGAAGAACAACCACGGAGCCATATGAGTGTGACCTCAGTGTAACCCTCCCCCCCCACAACACAAACAGGTGAAAAACACTGACCAGTTTAGGTTTGAGCTGGTCTTCACTGTCTCCATGTCCCAGTCGACCGTAACGTCCTTTCCCCCAGGTGAACAGTTCTCCACTGGCTGTGACGCAGGCGCTGTGAGCGCCCCCTGCTGCAATGTCCACCACCTCCACCCCCCTCAAAGACTCAATGACTCGGGGGCGGTCACAAGGGCTGTAGAGAAGGAAAGGATCGGCGTTTAAGTTCGAAAGAAATATAGATCCACGTCAAACCACAGTCAAACCACAGCCAGACTACAGTCAAACCACAGCCAGACTACAGTCAAACCACAGCCAGACTACAGTCAAACCACAGCCAGACTACAGTCAAACCACAGCCAGACTACAGTCAAACCACAG